AAATATTCCTTTGTAATACGCATACAATCTGTGTATTGTAAGATTAGATCGTACAATAGGGATAAAATAGTTCGTTTCTGCTGCAGTTTAGTCTCCTTCTCGCAGCCGCTACGAGGCTCGTTCCCAGGTCACTAGGCAGGAGTGACCTACATGTAGGAACGAGATTCGTTACGGATGCGAGAGGGGAGACTATTTCTGTTTATAATACGATGCCATTTTATTTACAAACTTAAACAAAAGCTCAATAGGGACTATTTCCGCTAACTATTGCGCACACAATATACATGTATACCAACACAGAGCGGATTTCGTATGAGTGGGAAACGGACGGTATACTGTACTGTAACCGTAATCGTACTGTAACCAAATTTTAGTGCACTATTGGTTCACAAAAAATGTGTAGGCCAGGTACGGTAACTGTGCGGTAACCGTGCGGTAATTTCTACCGTACGTTTCCCACTCATACGAAATTGACTCTAATACAATGTTTCTAAGGGCTGAATTGAAGAGCTTTAAATTTCAGATGCTGTTACCTCTGTTTACTCAACTTGACTTTACACAAGATGAAAATGAAAACACACCCGATGTAACTATATGGTAAGTGAATATATCATGATATATACCATTATAAGCAGCAAATCGTTATGATATTTGCGATGGCAGAGACTCCACCTCAAGAAACCCCTTGCACACGCCTTTGTTCTTTGTTGGGATTACTTAATTAGAGGACGTTAAAAAGTAGACCGGTATTCTACTACACATCTGTAGAACTAAAACTTTTCCGAACCGTTCATGGTACCGAAAATAAAATTTTTGACAGTTATAAAACATTATTTGCAAATTCTGATCTTTATGAATTCAGTCAAATGAGTCAACCATTTATCATAGTCACTTTTTATAGTTTCTTTCTTTGCGATATATCACAGATTGCGCTGTGTGAATCGTAGTCAACTTTTCGTTTTCTAATGACTTGACTGTATTGTAACACAATACAGTCAAGAAAAAAGAAAAAGTTAATCGATGAATTCTTCAGTGAGACTGCGACAATATTATGACTGCATGTAGGTACAGCATGAAATAGAATAATGGAGGTTTGCATTAACAAAAAGACTATAAATGCAGAATGAGTGAGGCGTCAATGAGAGGTTTGATTTSGCTGTAGAAATAGGATGGTTTGACATTTTGGAGTTTTATTGATCAGCGAAATCCATGTCTATAATCGTCTTCAAACATCTATAATATACATGATAATAAAATAGGAATGATGAAAATACATGAACATATGATAGCTGAAATCAAACGCTGGATATCTGGCCTCATATCGCGATCATCCAAGCCTCCAGTGATGAAAACCACTGTGTTGAAATTGAGGAAGCAATGATACAAGAGTCTTATCAATGCTGCCTCAATTTCATCCCAGTGGTTTTCACTATCTCGACGTCGCTGTAGAAATAGGATGGTTTAAAATTTTGGAGTTTTACCGATCAGCGAAATATTGTCTTAAAACATCTATAATGTATCTAATGCATTTTACTCACAATACTGGATGAATGATGTCGCGTTGTTGTYCAATGGCAATCTCGAACCTCTGGAATTATTAATGAGTTTAACAATTAAAAGATAGGGAGAAAAGAATGCCTTCACGAAAGGACTTCAGCTCTGCTTGCAGGCKTTGATCATAATGTCCCATAATGGCATCCAATTKTTGTCCTCGYCCTCTTCCCACGACAGAAGAAGATCTTTTGGGCTTCATTTTCCGTATCCATCGACTCGATTKTCAGACGCTGGATATCTGGCTCATATCGCGATCATCCAAGCCTCCAAAGATGAAAATCACTGTGTTGAAATTGAGGAAGCAATGATACAAGAGTCTTTTTATCAATGCTGCCTCAATTTCATCCCAGTGGTTTTCACTAACTCGACATCAGAAAATTATGCCACTGTACTATGATCATTGATTTCATTGACAGTGTTTTATCAGATCAGAGCATTTAAATCAGGTAGTAGGTGAGATCGGACCGCAGATATTCCTTAGTAGAAGGAATAGCAATGTTATGTCAAAATTAGCTGAAAATGGCACTGACGCTGGGTACAACTTGTCCCATTGATGTGAGTTTAGAATTTGTTTTGTTTCGGACTCCTTTAAAAGTATATGGTTTATATAGTAAGCATACTGTGACGTCATAGTGAAATAGGGCAGTTTTGAGTTATTTACATCATGTCCTGTTATTACAATCTCATACAAAGAGCACGCACTTTTGCCATCCAGCGGAAGTCAATGCGTTACGACGTTATACCGCTGACATTAGCCGTAAAGACTATGGGCTCGAGATTGTATTATAAAGATCGCGGAGAATAAGCACTATCTCTAAGCCTCCAGGTCATTCACTCTTATAATAATAATTGACGTTTACATTTCTTTTAAAAAGTCGAACTTTTTAGACATTTTTCGTTAGAAGTAGTGCTAAGGAAGCAGTTTAGCTCGAGAAGGGTTTGTCGTACGACTTCCATATATGGTTGTACATGTACGGCGCTCTTGTGCTCATAGAAGGCTCTGATGTCCCAATTTACGTGGAGAAGAACTTAGAAAATTTCAAAGACCTAAACTTAAACCGAAAAGAAATTTTTGAAGAACGAATCTAAGATTCGAACCAACGCTATGCATTGTCTAACCCAATATTTTCCCTAAACCTAACCATTAAGCCACCAGACCAATTCGATTGAGTGAACCTGAATTTTTGTGATATTTATGCAACGGCATGCATGAATAACCACATATATGTACATGATAAATGATTAATGAACCATCTATAGGGACATGAGAGCCTTCTATAAGTACATTAGAGCCATGCATATGGACATCCATAWATGGAAGCCTTACGATAACCTCTACTCTACGACACAGAGACATTGTTGATCATAATAAAAAACTAGACGCTCTTAGAGCGTAAAGTCGTGTTAGCTATTGTGGAAGATAGAGAAAAAATGATAGTATCATTACAGTTAATATCTATTTAAATCTATGCATTCCCTAGTAGGCGCGAGACGAAATCATGATTGATGATGTTGCATTTACGATTGAGCTTTAATTAACTATGTGACTTTGGGCTTAACAGCAATGACAGCAATAGAGTACAAACACTTAAAGCGTGCAACACTTTCCACTATTTACTGCATAGTGCTAAATATTTACTAAATAGTGCTAATTAAACAATATTAAACAATAGAATTAGCATAATTTAGCAGTATTTAGTTGAGCTCATTTAGTGGTATTCATGTTGCACAGTTTTAGTGTTTGTACTCTAATAAAGTAGAGTTAGAGAGAGAGAGAGAGATCTCATTCCAATTAATGAGATCACAGATWCAACATTTTTAAACTAATGGATTTTTGGTTGTATAAAACCATAATTAGCATTGAATAGTTACTGACGGTATGAGTTCATATATAACATTTTGGTTTTCTTTGGCTCAAAAACGACATGAAACATAGATAGATAGATATATAGATCCATRGATTGACGAAAAGGTATAACTTAAGTCGGCCTAGTACGGCTAATAAGACCGAATTAAACATCGTATAGGCAGGCTATAGTAACGAGTTATATGGTGTTCTCGTTGACCCACGATGCCAGGGCTAATCCTTGGTCCTCAAAATACGGGTAATTTGATTTTGTGGTTCCGATTACTCAGAGATCGTCTACAATTCAAGACTGAAACACTGATCCCAAAAAGGGATCTCTGAGCCCCAAAAACAACGCTGATCCCTAATCTCATATACATGTATACCTCATATCTAGGCCTTTTCTATGATTCCAAATTGTACCGATCACGCAACGAACCCCGAGTATCTCGTCTCAGACGGGAAACTCCCTTATTGCATCTATATTAAATTTGTAATATTATATATCTACTTTTCCATATCAGTATTGATGAAATCTCATATGTTGTTTAATTATCACCAATTTCTTTCAGTGCTGTACTACTGTCTCTTCTCTCTGATCTTCTAAAAAGYTCATCTACAAGTCAACACCAAATGATGCGGTGCCAGGGTTTCCTTGTAATCAGTAACGTATTAGAAAAGGTACACTACAAATGATAACCTAATCTTTGTAAAAACTAGAAGCATTTAGTAGCTTAAAGCCAAGTAAATTAAAATTACACTACTACATTGTAGTCATGAAACGACACTCTGGGACGTCGACTAGCGATTGTCCTGGGATAGTGGAAACGCAAGGGCAGCGTTTTGCTTATAACGTTCTAGTCTATGTCGAATGTAAGCGATTTGTACAGAAAAGCATTAGCCTCCACCGGGGATGTCTTTTTTTCTTTCCGCGAGTTTTCCTGACTACTTTTGTCACATGACAAAAGGCGACGAGGGGAGTCCGGATGAATTCCAAAAGCGCGAAAGGAAGTGTTGCTTGCGGAGAAGCATTGTGTGTGCTTTCATTAAGGACAACAGTAAAATCATCAAAAAGTGTTATATAGTAAAGACTTAAAAAAAATAAATAAAAAAATAAATAAATAGATGAATAAAATAAAAAAATACACATGGATTTTGACTAGCCTTCCCTTCCAGGCAACTTCTTTTTTCTCCTTCGGGCTTCATTTGTAAGGGTCATCTTAACTGCAAGGGACTAGTGACGAGAAAGAAAAAATCTTCTTCACTCGCTGCAAATCTCCCTCTTATGGCACMTAGAAAAAGRCAGGAAGCCCGTGRTTTCTTAGTGCTACCTGTGGAGGAAGCTAGATTTGATGATTGAGTGGTTCTCTTGAAGTTTTTGGTCAGATTTTTTTCCTTAGCTTTATCTATGAACTGTTAGCATAGCAAACGCTGGCCTAAAACCGACGCGAACCCAAAGTAGCCTGGTCTTGTATAAACGTAGTCTTAGACTGATATCATTAACTGAAAAGTAAGTAGGTCATTTTGTAGCATTTTACCAGTGTCAGTGGCAGGTAGACTTCAGATTAGCATTGAAGTTCGTCTTCGAGTATGTATCTGTTTTCTATTCTTGCTATTCTGTTTCAGTCCCAGGCCGCACTCACAGARCAGTCCCTCAACATTTTCCTGTCTCTTGCAAGGTATTCTATGTTTTCTTAGTTCTGAATCTTCGAGAAAATTAAATACATTTAGAATAAGTTGATTTAATCAAAATGAGAAATGAAAAAAWTAACAAAAGGTTAAAGTATGTATGTTGCAGATTAAATGAATGTAAAGTAAATGACTAAATGTATGTAGTATTAAAAACAGTCTTAAACCTACATATTTCGAAATAGTCTCCTTCACGGTTCCCTGCGCCAACTTCAAAGGTAACCGTGCCTTTACATCGAAGCGAGACAACCGTTGAGCGTGCACACCTACATACAATTATTCACAGGTTTCTATCATTACACGCTCAACGGTTGACTCTCTTYGATGTAAAGACACGGCTACGCTTGAGTTTTCCCAAACAGATAGAGTGACAAGCGTTTAGACGTTTTGCAATCTTAGATAGCGATTATCCCAGTAAAGTATACTGCCCGTGATGCACCCAATATATGCTAGCGGCAATTTTTTTGCTGACTATCGACTGAACTCTTTCAGGTATTTGTTGTATACTCCAGGAAGTGGGCCTTTGCTTGGAAGTCTTCTAGACCATGTGCTTTTCAACCCTAACTTATGGGTTAAAACCCCTGCCGAGGTAAGRCGATATAGCGAYATCTTTCGTAACATGCTCTCATTAAATGCTAAAGCTCATTCAGATTTGCATTAAACAACCACAAAGTTCTGACGGTTTCACTGCAATCAACCAGTCGGAAAAAATGGGAAATAAGAAAGCAAAGGAAAAGGATGTCAAGCACTACGTTTTGATTTATACTCGAAGCATATTGTGAGTAATAAAGTCATGTTTCCCACTAGGTTCAGCAGCAGTTGTTTAGTGTCTTYGCTACAGACCTTGTTAGGGGCGTTGGATGTGCTGCGCATATTCGACGTGAAGTTGGCGTTAGACGTCTGATGTACATGTTAAAGACCTACTATTGGCTGGACAAACAATCGGATGAGATTGAAAAAGGTGGATTATATCAATGGAACTTGTTAGTGATAATATTGCTTTCCACTTGACAAATTCTTATCAAGAAAACATACTTCATAAAAAAAGCAGTATCATAGACAATTCATATTCGGCTTTGGATGATATCATCTAATTCCAGTTTGCTGTTTTCTTTGCCTGTTCATTATGATTAATGCTACAGTGTATCTATCTTGTTGATGACGTTCAAATTGTTTGTACCAGTTTTTATTGTTTTTGTGGTAACGTCTGTAAAGTATGTTTTAAAAGTATGTAGCAGAAAAGGTTGTATGGGCGATTGGAGAATGCACGCCTACACAAACCTATAAGGCAGTCAATACTGTCGTATTTTTYTATAATGGTTTCCATTATCCATAAAGAAAAACGAACTTATCACYAACAGTGATTTTCAGTCTTGTAATCGTCGTCCCCCTATTGAAATAGCTGTATGTGTAATATTTCAGTGATTCGCGTATCCGTTATATTTACTTACCTAAATTCGTTTCTTTAGACACTAATATGGAAATGATATCCTGCTATTTGTTTTGAATTATCTGTGTTTTTTTTGTCTTTATTTGTCATTGATTTTTCTTTRTGTCTCAGGGACAGTTAGATCCGATAAAGAAGACGTCAACAGGCTTCGAGCGTATTTACTTCTTTTAGTCAAGCAACTAGTTCTAAAGGTARCATGAAGAAAATTGTTATTTAGTCACAACCAAATAGCGATAGATCACGACCTTATTATCTTCAAATTGAAGACGTCTCTCCTGCTTTCWAGGCTAGAATTGGTTTAGAGAGTCCACACCCCCTCCCTCTCCCCCTAAAAAAAACAAAACAAAGCAAAACAAGTCTTTGCTCCACCGTTGTCGCTGCCTRAGTTGTTTATAACGTTTTTGTTAAGGATAATGGCGTTGCCGAAGATGAGCTGTACGGAATTCTCGCCTACTTAGTCGCGACGAAGGAGGTAAGGTTTTCTTATGGATRTGAAGCTTGTGAATATCGTCAGGTAACTAATGTTGGTTTTCCTGTATTCTAGGAAGAAAATATCCTGGATGTGTTGCAGTTAGTGTTGTCTATTTTGACAGAACAGCCTGAAGCTGTAGTGCCGGCGTTAGACAAAGTAGATGGGTTCAAGTAAGATGTTACTGAATTATTTTAATAAAAATTACAAATAAACGAGCACGAGCAAAAAGCAAAACAAAAAACAAAACAACAACAACATCAAAAACCGGCAACAAGATATCAAAACACATATCGTTCTCTGTAATYAGAACTCTTTTCAACTTCTTGGATGCATCGCTGGAGTCGATTCGTGTATACTCTTTGAAGATCATTGGCTGTTTTATTCACCATTGTAATCCAAGGTAAGACAGATTTCAAATAAAATATGTACTTCGTTATTGGTATTAGCCTGAGTTTCACCCAACTTTTACTCGTATACAACCATTGAAGATTATTTATCATTACACTACAGGAGAAAAGTAGAGCTTCTACAAAATTATGGATTGTTTGCGTTGATTGGCAAAAAGCTAATGCTACATGGTTTGACTCTCACTACTTATAATGTACTTTTTGAGGTAAGAGCCATCAAAGGCATAAAAGGCACAYGTGAYCTAGAAAAAATGCTCGGTTTCTTTGAGGATTGTTTGAATAATATCTAATCTTCTTTTAGATTCTTACTGGTCGTGTATCAAAGCAGATACTCAGCAGTCGTCATCCCGAACCTGATGATACCTATGTTATCCACAATGCCAGTAAGACAATTGTGTTGCCCTTATTGTTATAGTTTCAAGATGCTTTCCCAAGATAGATTAGGGTGGCTAGTCACTTCCCTTTTAGAGGTTCAGAATTATAGGAATTGAAGTTAAACACCTCCCTTTGGAACGTTTTGGATCCGACACTGTTTCCTGTATCCTGTTGTGTATCCTGTTTTATCCTACCTCTTGCCTGTTTCTTTCCTGTAAAGATATGACTATKAGGACCGCATGGCACTATGATAAACACCATATAGAAATGAAAGAAAATTCTAGTGCTTAGAAGGAGGCAATTCCGGTAGAAAGACCCTTAGGAATTAATTCGGAAAAATTCATTTCCGACCTCGCTGGGATTCTAACCCACGACCTTCGGATTTGTACTACCGATGCTCTACCAGCTGAGCTACAAGCCAGAATGGGAGCAGGTCGGGGTGAAATAAGATGTTAGGTTGCGGTAATATAGTTTTTATTTATTAATTTTTCCGAATTATTTCATAAGCACTATAACTTTCTTTCATTTCTATATTGTTTCTTTCCTGCTCCACTGTTGTTTTGTCCATTGTYCATCTGCACAGTTTTTGAGTCTCTCTGATTGCCTGTCAGGCAGACGTATTTCCTACTGCCTCACCACCACCTGACTGATAGACTGATGGCTTTGTCTGTCATTGTGCCTTAAACATAGGTGTATCTTTTACCATATTCAAGTTTCTTTTTATGTGTCTCTTGGTATTCAACTAGTTTTTTTCTTTTTTTCCAATCAGATCTTTGTCCAGTAATCGTCAAAATGCTGCATCAGATCGACAACAAAGACGGTAYAGYCAACACTTTGACTACCCATGAAAACACTGACGCAGATACAGCTGATAYCCCGTCATCTCAACCAAACGATGGCTTGGATATCAAGAAGGTCTTCCTATCAGATCTTGTTCTACTGCTACACCATAGTAAAGAAAATCGAAGGTGAAGACTGTCAAGACTCTGTTTATCAAAGTTCATTATAAAGACAACTTCGAGATAGCACTTGATTGACTTAACAATAACGAATCTCTGCTGTACAGGGATCTATTCTCAATGATTTCTTTTAAGTGGGCATGTTATAAATGGGYGTCCTTATAGTTGATAGTTTCCTAAGGCGGTAGTTGAGTGTAAAATAATACGCAATGTCATCCCACATGGTGTGTTGACTTACGGTTTCACGTCCACAGTATTCTGCTGCAGCTTTCGTGTTGGCAAGACTGGTTGTTTTCTCTAGCTYACTTCGACCCAAAAGATAAAGGTAAAGAATCTCTATACAGTATTTTAGGCGTTGTCGAATTTGTTGCAATTTTCTTAAATGGTACGAGAAAAGTCCAGTGTCATATGAAACGCCATTTATATTGGGCATGCATACATATTGATATATTTGGATAGCCACATATTAGCGCTCATATCTCCTCCATGAATTATGATGCAAGGACTCTGGTTGGAATATTCAACATAATGTCCTTTCTCAATACTGAAGCAAGCCTTGAAAAAAAAAATCAAAAAAAATCTAAAACGTTTGTTTTCCGACGTCGTGCCTTCTCTTTTTAGCAAGACTAATTCACGGGGCATAACCTTCGTACCATCCACCGCAGCTTATCAAAGAGTGTATAGTCAGTGTTCCGAATCTCTTTTTTCTCTTGAGTTGTTCATGAATTTGATAATTGCTGGTTTTGTTTTTAGCCGAATGCAGGACAACAGATACTGTGTTCTCACTCTTTCGGATGCTGCTTCATCATGCGTTCCAAGAAGAGCGTGAGGGCTGGCGTATTTGGGTTGATACACTTGCTATCCTTCATGGAAAGGTATTGGACAATTAAAGACGTCATCATCAACGTAGTGATTTATATTATAATTCTTTTGCCATTGTAAGCCTGGGTCTAACTCATTATCGCCACCTACATAGTGTAGTTCATCAATTTTGTCGAATGTTATCATCATAAATACCTAGTTTTTGAAGTTTGGACTTTTGCGTTACATCCGAAGGAACTTACTCATTCTTCAGTAGTTCATTTGATGGAAAAATTGGAAAATTCGCAGTAATCCACCGTTTTCATAGATTGTCTCTTAATTTCAAGAAAAATTCTTAATCATCATCATCATCAAAATGATCATCATAACAATAATTGTCTTAATCAATTCGTGTCTTCCATAGCTTGCGCAGCTRTCCCTCAGGGCGAGTGTGGAGATAAAAAGCGTATATAACTCAGTATTTTGACATACTGGGTCATGAAATAGTTTTAATCATTAAGTCTCAAGTCAATCATTGCTATTATACTTATTGTAAAAAAATGTTTTTTACCTGTACTTTAGGTAAGCCAATACACAAAAGAAAGAAAAGAAAARGAAGAAATGGAACAAAAATCAAAGAAAACTAAAAACGACGCTTCTAGGACCCGCCGCAGTACTGGTCTAGTCCGTACAAAGAGTGCCTCAGARGTCGAATCATCGAGGCGSAGGCCTCTCTCCCCTGAGGCTGACAGTGAGAGGAGAAAGTTCTTTCAATCGCTTTTGCAAGCCAAAGGGGCATCTAGCAGTGAAAAGATTGGTTCCATTCCGGAAGAGAAAGAATCCCTCGAAGAAAGTGCCGTTAAGAGTGTTTATCAAGACCCTGATCAGCAGGATGTCCAAGCCTCACAAAATGGTGGGGCTTCCGAATCCATTGAAGACAATAAAATATCTGCGTCTATCTCAGAGACAGCAGAAGCGTTGAACAATAGTCTTTCTCCCGACGAAGAGTCGGCTACTAGTGCTCCTTCTGACATARRAAAAAATGAAGAAAAAGAAGATCAAGAATCGATAAATGAAACAAAGACATCWGAAGAGACCACAAGAACGAACGAAGAARCAGCACCAACCAGTAAAACCAACGATAATGTCGATGCAGTTTCGAGTGACCAGATGTCATCGATAGTTAATGATCCCAGTACGGATGAGGATGAGTCGAGGAGTACGACGGGAGTAGAGTCCAATATACGGGGTGACGAAATTGCAGGTTCTAATACTGAAACCAAGACAGTACCAGGCCATCCCGTCCGCGTTAATTCAACCAATGAGGACGAAAATAAACTAGTTAATGGTGACGGGAAAGACGGAGATGATACTATAAACGAAAATATTCAAAATGAATCTAAAACTGATACAGGTGAAATTTGTACAAATGTTAATCAGTCTATCGATAAAAACGTTTTTAATGGTGGCCAAAAAGAAGACTGCCAACAACCAGCAGACGATGAAACGATTGAAAAGGACCGGGAGCCTGCTTCTAGGGACAGTGATCTAGAAATTGTAAAAGAAAGCGATAATRAAAAGCTRGAGTCTACAGAAAACGTCAGTGAGCAAACCTCAAGTACAAGTGCAAAGGCTTCTAATCAATTGCTATCCGAACACGAAGCTAAAGACCAAGATGGCAACCTTTCTTTAAATATGAAAAGCTCATTCATAGGCGCGGACACTTCTTCTTCACCAGAAGACGAAAAACCTAAAACAAATTCTSAAACTGAAAAACTGCCCACGGATGAGAAAACCAGCGGTTYAACCACTGGTACACAGTCTTCAGAAAATACTTCTGAATCGTCCGGGCCTAGTGCCCAGGCTTCACCCACCAGAAATGAAGAGACTGGTAATTCAGGAGACCAATATAAAGCATACATWAATATACCAGAGTTCATGTGGTCAAGTATGCATCAAAGACTTTTAGGTGATCTACTTTTTGCTATTGAATCAGACYTACAGGTTTGGAGAAGGTAAGAAATACTCCATTTTTGAATTCAAAGCAAAAAASCGCTGSTACCGTCGGCTATTTTTGAAGATGACTCTTAGAGCTGTAAAATAAGTACTGACCCTATTTACCCTGTTCAATAACTTTTCTTGTCTACTTTGAAATCCCACTCGCTGCATGTCTCCTCGATCTCAAAACARSAAACCCTCAYAGGAATTGACAGTGRAGGAKGCTATAAGACAACCAATGAGATCTGCYTAAAGTGRTTTGAATCGCTTGGAAAARATGGAATAACAACGTTATAGTAGCCGAATATGTCCATTATGACATATCCTGTTGTGTTTTTCATTGACAAATATTGATTTCTTTCAGTCATACRCGCAAGAGCATAATGGACTTCGTCAATTCCAAAGAAAATACGACATACTTATGGAACCTCGCTCACTTTGTCTCCGTGCTCGCTGATAACGTCATCTACGCCTGTGGAGATCTTCTTCCACTGTTATCGTCTGTCACATCACGTGACTATTCCCAGGACGTCATCCAACCGTGTGGTGGAATGAGCCTGGAGTCGAGTTTCTCGTTTCTGAACCGGTTGATGTCACTAGTTGACGTCATAGTGTTTACCAGTTCACTCGCTTTCAGTGGTGTAGAGTCAAATAGAAACATGAGTAGTGGAGGATTTCTAAGACAATGTCTTCGGTTAGGTGAGGCTTTTTTTTCTGAATTATCAGAAGGCGTTTTATAAAACGTCCAAATGAGCATTATGGCGTCATTCCACTACCACTACCAGAATGCTCTGCGTATTTTCTTTGCTATTCAGATTTTTAATCACTTTGGAGATCAGTAAAACAATTGGGGCAAATTGCATTTCAAAGGAAAGTGTGCAAAGCATTTTGGTCTTAGAAGTTTGGACGCCATCGTACAAATCGCCTTCTGAAACCTGATAATACCCGAACTTTACTAAATTCAGTTTTCTTATGAGAGGTCGCGGAAATTTCCTATGTGTTGGCGATACTCTCTCCCCTTKCAGCGAGTACAGTATAATAATATGATAAAGCAGAAAATTACATGGTTGCCAGGAGATACGAATTTTATCTTCTCGTGTTGAAACTCTCGCTCACTCATRAGAGATCTTTTAAACATTTGAAGATAAATTCCTCGCGTCCAGGTAATWTCCTCTATATATCCATATGTAACAACTCTCGATCTGTTTGKTCTTCTAGTTTTCTGTTGTGCTGCGCGAAATCGTCTCGTTTGCCGGCAACGTAATCGACCGATCTTCCCTTTCGTAAAAGATGGAAAAGTGACCAAGAAAACCTTGAAAGAAACGCGTGAAGCAATCAAGGCACTGATATCTTCAACTGAACCACCAACTGATAAGGTAAAGAGGATCAGTCACATTAGCTTCTGCACCAGTTAACTTTAGCTCCTTCAGTTTGCTTCAGATTCCTCTATTTAAAAATATTATACTACAATTTAAATTGTAATGGTACCAACCGTGTAAGTCCTTATTCCTTGAATAAKTAACAGTTATACCCCGAGGTGGAGTGGACACGATTTGATAGTCCATGAGGACTCGTAGCTCCATCATGAATATGCCATGGTTTAGTAGCCAATCAATATGCCAATCAAATGGAWTTGTAATAGCACGTAGTTTGGTGGATTTCAAAAGTTGGATTTCACTCCGATTGAGAAATATCWGTGCCAGGCATTTTCCCTTAACATATCAATTTCTTGTTGCGCTCAAATATTATSTCCCATGCCTCTTTTGGATGTCCAGAGTTCTTCCAGTCTTGCGGGAAGGTGAGGTTTTCAAAATTTCAATTTTTATTTTATAAAGGACATGYTACAAAACATCCCTGGTCACATCACGACCGTTACCGACCCAGAAAAGCTGCTCCAAGAAATGGAYGTTAATCGTCTACGAGCTGTTGTTTACCGAGACTTTGAAGACAGCAGACAAGCTCAGTTTCTTGCTCTTACCGTGGTGTACTTCATAGCTGTCATGATGGTTGCTAAATATAGAGATTTACTTAAGAGTGACGAGTCAAGATTGAGATGTAGCACAGCTCCGCCAACAGGTAATTAACAAAGGAAACCCGGTACGGTAGTCAGTATAGAAAATAACAATGTTCGAGAAGAATTAATGAAAAAAATACCGCGCGTATTTGATGAAAGTGAGAATTAATATTAACTCACTTTCATCAAATACAAGCGGTATTTTTCATTAATTCTTCTCGAACAAAGGTGGTATATCCTTAATATCATTTCTACATAAAATTTCTACATTTTATCRCAAAAAGTCGCAGTAAAATAACGAAAACATATCGCAAGTAGATCATTCTCAAAGACTTCTGGGATAGATTCGTGTAATTATTTACTAGCACTCGTGGYATTAATCAATTGCACAAATTAAGAAAAAGATGAACACGGTTGGTCAGCCAATCAGAATCTAGTATTTAATGTAKAAGTAAAGAAGTAGCGACGTGTTTAATCGGCATTTAATATACGGACCGTTGGGTGAGTATCGCCGCAGCAGTATTTTGACGAATCCTCTATCTGACTTCTAGAACTCATTAATAATTCATGAGCTATTAGTCCAATGAGCATCGAACTATTGGGTCACATGATGGGCCTTTATATCCCGTTATYAAACTCCAACTACCGTGACTGGGCTTCTAGGTCATGCGTATTTATGTCTTTTGCCGTAATGGGCTTCAAGAAAGCTCAATCCGAATCGCCTCTTTTTGCTATTTGTTCGTTCGCTCGTTCGYGTTTCTGGTATATGAAGTTCTTTTTTTTTTACAAGCATTATAGTTATATTCTAGAAAGGTTTTTTCAAAATACTTCCAGTGTTCGGTTACCTCAATTATTATTATTTTTTTTATTCCATGTTCCTCTCTTTGTTCTCTTCGTTCCTCTCTGCGGTGAGTTCAAAAAAGTTCTTTAACATCTCAGAACAAAAAAAAACAAAAAAACAATCCATTATTAAAACAGAGTGCTAAATATTATTGTGGCGACGTTTTGAATTTTTCTATCTGAATTGAAGATTTGATCAAAATTACATTAAAAAAAWGGTTTTTGTATTCATTCCATTCTAGTGTGTGTCATTTTTTTTCACATTTGTAAATGATCAATTCGTTTGCTTAGGAAGATCTATGCCCTAAACGTTGATAATTATAAAAAAAACATGGGCTCATTTTTACATTTTTTTACTAAATGCAAAACAGCCATCTGATTTTAAGGTATCATACCATGAGGGGATTCCCTCTGTGAACTCATTTGGCATACTTGCTAGTTTCATTAAGAATTCGATTTCAGTTTATTCCATTTTTTTAAAGATTTCATACCTTTTACTACTTTTAWAACTATTCAGCTTTACTCTTCATTTATGTTTTCCGATTTAATATGATTTTTAACGTGATGATTTTCCAACTGCATGATATACAATGTATTTGTAATGTAATTAATTGTAGCAACGCAATTGATATGGCAAAACTGCTATTWTTATGTAGAATATTGGGACGTGAGCTGGAGAGTATCCTATCGCAAATATTATTCTATCATATGAAGTACATATACATTGTATATTCTCTCGAAAAACCTATATCCTTTATAATATACATTTATATTACTCCAAAACAAAACTTTAATTCGTGAGAAATCTGACGCGCGAGGCAATGCAATATCATTTTTACGACCCAATTTAGAGCCAAAATCTTTTCTTTTCTTTTCCTTCACACTTCACATAAGCGCAGAAGGGAGATTAACGAACCCACAGGGCTGAGTTCCTCAAGGGTKYATTTTTGTATTAKTTTCCCACTAAACATTTCAATTTAAACACGTTTATAAGACATGTAGTTTGTTCTCGAAACCTCCTAGTGGTGGGACGTGCTGACGGTCACCTGTTCACTTGGTGGTCTTCATCTCTGTTMTTTTCTTAACGTAATTGGTTTTTTGAAGTGAAATATACTCACAATGAAATATTAGCATTCTTATTAGTGACGTCTGAGGCTAAAATCCAATCTATTTCAATTAATGTCATATTAAATTTGGATTTTTGAACCGTTCAGCAGAAATATAAAGTGAACACTTCACACTCATTTTGAGTTTTTTTTTTTTACGCGCCCATCGAGTATTAATTTCTAATTGGTAGAATATTTACAAAATGTTTTCGCGTAATTTTAGTGACATTACAATGGGCGTGCAGGCGCCAAATAAAAGGAGCTAGATGTCAATTCTATTTCAATTACAAATATTGCGACAGTTATGATAACTCAAGCCGGACTCATCAACGTGATATAAGGGTGCTTGAGCTTTTTCCTCATTAAATATCCTTTGGGGTTAAAAAAAAAAAAAAAAAAAAAAAAAAAAACAACAACAACAATAACAACAACAACACCAGCAATAACAAATCAATCAGATATCACTTTAATTTGGACTGTTTCTTGCATCGAAAAATGCTTATTATCCTTCTCAAACTAACATGGCTATCATATTAAACTTCATTGTAATTTAAAATGCAAATTTTGAAGAATTGRCACGCAAAAGCGTTATTATATTAGTTTGCCAATATGACATCGATTTTTACCAATTTGGGCTTTTCTTCATAAGATTGACTGTCTTGCCAARRGGTCATTTGTTTAAWTGATATTTGTTGTGGAAGGATCGCCTGACTGACTGAAGCTAGCATCTCGGAAGGTCTTTTTTCCAAAACTGACAGA